TTTTTTTTTTTTTTTTAGAACTGGAAACCGGGTCCAGTGTCCCATTTTCTCACTCTGTTATCTCAAAGAAGCTTCTCAAAAAAATTCCCCAGAAGCGCAGTAAAAAGGTATGAATACCTGTCCAGCAACCTTTTTTTTTTTTTCCAAGAAAATCTGAACAAATCTAGGAATAGTTAGTTTCCTGCCTACTATTCCTGGCAACCCCCTACTCTTCCTCATCTCCCGACGAGCCGACCTCCACCACCACATAGTTCGGAAGACAAGAAACAGTAGCCAATCAACCTCACCAAATCCCCTAATGATCAAGGATGGACTTCAACTTTCCATCTCCCTTCGACGAGCCAACCTCCTCCACCACATAGTTCGAAGAGAGAGAAGAAAGTAATCAGTCCAAGCAAAAAATCTGAACAAATCTGAGAACAATTAGCTTCCTGCCTGCTATGCCTGGCAACCCCCTACTCTTCCTCATCTCCCGACGAGCCGACCCCCTCCACCACATAGTTCGGAAGATAAGAAAATGGTTAAGGATGGACTTCAAATTTCCATCTCTGTTCAACAAGCCGACCTCCTCCACCACATAGTTCGAAGAGAGAGAAGATAATTAATGTCCAATCGAAGAATTGAGAAAATGTTGCCTTCGCCCTCCCCTCTGTCCCTATCTGCCCCCGCCGGGGTTGAAGGGGACCAACTCTCCCGGCCCGGCCCCAGAAAAGAACAAACCCCAAATCTTCCCTACCCCCGACAGAGCAGCCACCACCCACCTTGCAGCGCCCCTGTAGAGTAGGGCTCCCCGACGCCCCCCCACCCATTTCCCAACGGCTAGATGATAAGAGAACTATTTCTTACAACCGCTAAACAACTCCTGAAATCCTCAGCAATTTTCCGAATACTCAGGGATCTAAGGGAATTCCAACAGGTCATAACAAAGCTCACTGAAACTGACTTATTCTCTGACAAACTCACCCAGGCCTCACGCCCCCTATCTGCTAGGTTACAGAGCAACGCTACTCACCGGCCAGCGTCGTCTTATGTCAGCAACCCCCAGCTGTCCCCTAGGATGCTCCCCCCATAGCATCCCCAGACCTCTCTACGAGGCCTCATGCCCTCACCTTCGGCAAGTCACAGGGCATCACCCCGGCTCCGGCCAACGTCGTTCTGGCATTGGACAGCCACGGGTCCTGAATATACAGTCTAATTCCAGTGTAGCTTCGTACAAACCACCAGCAGACCCCCAGAACCCTGAGAGATTCTCCAAACTACCCTGAATAACAGGAGTGCTTATTTTGAAAATTCCAAAAAAAAGTCAAGACCTCCTAAGGGGAAAAAAATCCTAAGAATTATAAGGAGGAAAGATAGATGAGAGATTTTATTTTTATTTTTTTGGACAAGACCCTGAAATTAATGCATTGAAAAACGACCTCTAATGATGACAAAGGGATGATGATAACGATACTAATTGCGTCAGCATGTGATCTGCTGATTCTGCTCGCATGGATGGTAACCGAGAGAAAGTTGATTGGCTAGCAATGGATGGTCCTCAGTGTAACGCGAACCATCAGTTGAGGTTGGTGGTGACAGAGGAGCCTGAGGTGCTTGACGATTATTCATCATCATGTTGAGTTGTTAAGGGTTGCATGTGACGCGGAGGATGCTCTCAGATACACAAAAAGTTCTTCGGTTTGGAGATATCTTTGTGTTCTTGAAAGTTTGATGGCTATCGCGCTTACCTTGCTCTCATGTCTTTGTTGTTTGTACATTTCGATCCTTAACCCCCGCTCAATACTCGTTGTGAGAAACTAGTTCGTGCCATGTTATGCATGACTTTCGTTTGACCACGTCTGGTCCATTTATGGTTTTCCAATAGAATCCTATTCTCTGTGGGATAGTTAACTGATGTGAATGCTTGATCACTGCGGACTATGTCACAGACATCAGTGACATCGCCACGCACACGCACACGCACACGCACACGCACACGCACACGCACACGCACACACACACACACACACACACACGCACACGGAAACGGACACAGACACGCCCACGCACATGCACACACAAATGCCCACACACATGTGCACGCACAGTCTGTGCCTGACAAATGGTGGCTGACAATGCTCACCTGTGTGCCACTTTCCAAAAAGACGCAACGATGCCACTACCCGTCGACATGCATCAATTGGCCGAGCCTTCTGTGCTGAATAGAAACTGAAAACCATCTTCTGGTGGAGAAGAAAAAAGAGAAATAGCAACCTCTTGTTCAAAATACTTTAGATGACTAGCACTCAACAGGTACAAGCCAGCCACACCAAGATCGACTGCCGATAACAAGAACGGCCTACAATGGCCATGTGATGTCTGCATTAAGCCTGAGAGGGATCACATATGCAACTTCTGACCAAAAACGGAACCGGCAAGGGGCAGACACTGCCTCCCAGGAACTAGCACCTGCAAACTCCCTCTACGCATCCCAACCCATCGAGTTCACACACTTGCAAGATCAACCATGCTCCCATGCTGGACCAGTGGACCTCGCTCCCAAGGCAAAGGTCAAACCCAAGGCAATGCCCACTACTACTCTGATGCCAGGGGTGCCCTTCTCCCTGAACACAATAGTCATCCCTCCTCAAAAGCCACTCCCGTTCTAAGATCAAATTTCTAGAAAAGTCAGTTGTACATCCATCTGGCATTGGGAAAACTGTAGACGCAAAGGGTCTCTTGACAGAAGAGCAAGAAACAAAGTTCAAGAGGGGGGGGAAGGGGGGGAGAGAGAGAGAGAGAGAGAGAGAGAGAGAGAGAGAGAGAGAGAGAGAGAGAGAGAGAGAGAGAGAGA